CATGGCAAAGCTTCCCAGCAGCTATAAAAGGACCCTGAACAAATTGTGTTACATGGTTACTATATGAGATAGAAGTAAACAGAAGTAAAATTCTCACTGAAAAAAAATAGGACCACAAATCTTCTACAATTAGGGTATGTACCTACATATATATATATTTTTTAAAAAAAGAATAAACGAGGCAACAAATACATGATGAAGAGAAAAATGAATAATGGTAGCTAGCTCTAAAAGCAGTGGTTTTAGTCAGGGGTTGTATATTAAAATGACTTGAGTACAACCACCAGAATGTGACCAATTTAAAAGAAGAGGTCACTTCATATTCATCTTTTTTACCTTTAAGTTATCAGTAAAAATCCAAATCAAAATACATAATAAAAGAAGAGAAATGTATTATATGATAGTATTTGAAACTCAGAAATAGCACATTACAAAATAAAAATGGGAATGCGTCAATGTAAAACAGAAAAATACTAGATACAGTAAAAACAATGTACTAAAACATTCTGAAAATTTGTATGAATTTAGCATAACTTCAACGCAAATTTTAACAGGCTTTTTATAACGGGTTTCATGAATGAATTCTAAAATTCATATTGAAAAAGTGAAAAACAAAATATTTTGTTACAACAGGACTACATGGATAATAGACATAATTACCATCTATTATTAAATATTATACAAAGTGCTGTGGTTTAAACAATATACTACTGGCCAAAAATAAAGACTGACTGGAAATAGCAGAAACGGTTCCAGAATTGACCTACATTTCATAAAAGTATATACTAATAATACAAACACCAATTAAATTAGAAATATGTGTACTGTATAACTCAATATTATCAGACAACCATAGAACACTGAATCTGAGAAAAACAGCTTCAGTGGTCTTCCTCTAGTACGCTCAGACACACAGCATGAGACTCTTAATCTTAGGGTCATGGGGTTTGAACAATAAACTTAAACTAATAAATATCCCATAAAGTACACTGAAAACAAAATGAGCATATAAGCAGCAAAAGAGAAAATAGAAAAAATATTGTGAAATGAGAGAGAACTAAATACAATAAAAAAGAACCCATATCAATAAATACGGGAATACCAAGTACTACTGGTCAAAAAGACACAGGATTTGAACAGGTGTTTACAAAAAGGGGGACAACAAACTTTGTTTTTAAAATGTTCAGCCTTTTGAAAAGATAAAGAAATGATTAGGTACCACTTCATTCCAAAAAAGTTTCAAAATAAAAATACACAAACCAATGCTGGCAAAGCCACAGTGAAACAGATGTACGCTTTATAAAAAGAATTTGTTTTATTGGGAAAGCACCATGACAAAATGGGGAGTGGGGAAGATAAAGACCCATAAAAACAAGCATAGCCTTTGAAAGAATAACTCTCTTCCTGGGAATTCCTTCTAAGAAAATAATTCTAAAGAGTATGGAGAGAAATCGTCTATGTGAGGGTGTTAAGAACACTTAAGGCCGGGCGCAGTGGCTGATGCCTGTAATCCCAGCACTTCGTAATCCCAGCCAAGGCGGGTGGTTCACGAGGTCAGGAGATCGAAACCATTCTGGCTAACATGGTGAAACCCCGTCTCTACTAAAAATACAAAAAATTAGCCAGGCGTGCTGGCAGGCGCCTGTAACCCCAGCTACTCAGCAGGCTGAGGCAGGAGAATGGTGTAAACCCGGGAGGCAGAGCTTGCAGTGAGCCGAGATCATGCCACTGCACTCCAACCTGGGCAACAGAGTGAGATTCCGTCTCAAAAAAAAAAAGAACACTTAAAACAGCCATATTTAAAAACTGACAAAGGATGAGGATACTATGATAGTGGGTAAGAGCTTTGAAGGGGAAACTAAGGCAGAAGATTCAAGAGTTATTTTTAATACAGTATAAATGACAACACAGTAAAGCAGTACGAGGAATGGATTGCAACACATTATACTAAAAATAGTAAAAACTGCAAATTGTGAGAATGGCATAAGAAATCTGAGTTAACACATCCTGCTCACCTGTTTTTCAAACTGTGGCATTCCTCTGGTGTGTGTCTGCTTTGGCAATAAGTGGGATGATACTCACTTTTTCATGCAAATGCTTCATAAACTCAAGATCCAATGGTTTAAGTCTGAAAAGCACAATATTTGATATGACTGAATTGATCAGTTTGGGAGAACAAGATTCTTCACATCCCCAATTAGATTTCAATTATCTTCAGTTAGTCAACTGACTCTCAAATCTTCATACACCAGCATATCTCACTGTTAAGTTCCAGATTTGTGATTACCCAGTGGATATGCTACCCAGGTGTTCCATGGACTCCTTAAAATCAAAAGCTCATATGAACCTCATTTTCCCTCTTCTAAGCTTTCTATCTCAGTGAATGGCACTACAATCTACCCAATTATGCAAGTGTGAAACCTAGGATTCCACCCCTCCTCTAATCCTCTTCCCATATATATAGTATGTGTATAGATGTATGTATGTATGTATGTATGTATGTATGTATGTATATCTCCATTTCCATTACTTTAGGCCACCAAGACCTTTGGAATGAATAACTATAATACAAACCATCCATACTGAAGTCAGAGTGGTCTTTCTAATCCAAATCTTATTGAGTTATGTCCTGACCAAAAATCTTATTAAAGACCAGATGCCTTAACTAGTATGGCCTATAAGGCTTGTGAAGACATAGATTCTCCAGCTGACCTCGTCTCTTAGCATTCCTGGCCTTTCCTTTGCCTCCTACTTCCAATGTGCCAGCTTTTAGAACTTCTTAAAATTCCTTGAAAGCACTGTACTTTGACATCTGGCCACAGGCTACCACCTTGGCTGGAACATCCTCCATTATCATTCTCCTTCTCCTTGGCCTGGCTAATTCCTATTCATCCTTCAGGACACTGGCTTATGGTCCAATTTCCACTGGGAATCCTTCTCTAACCTAAGACTAGGCATATTTCTTTTTTCTTTTTTTTTTTGAGACAGAGTCTGGCTCTGTCACCCAGGCTGGAGTGCAGTGGCCGGATCTCAGCTCACTGCAAGCTCCGCCTCCCGGGTTTACGCCATTCTCCTGCCTCAGCCTCCCAAGTAGCTGGGACTACAGGTGCCCGCCATGTCGCCTGGCTAGTTTCTTGTATTTTTTTTAGTAGAGACGGGGTTTCACTGTGTTAGCCAGGATGGTCTCGATCTCCTGACCTCGTGATCCGCCCATATCGGCCTCCCAAAGTGCTGGGATTACAGGCTTGAGCCACCGCGCCTGGTCAGACTAGGCATATTTCTATGTGGTCACACACTTAATGTGTTGTACAGTAACTGCCTGCCTGCATACAGATGGTTCCTCCCTAACTATGGTTCCACTTAACAATTTTTCAAATTTTTCATAGTGTGCAAGCAATATGCATTGAATAGAAACAATACAACCATTCTGTGTTTTACTTTCAGTATAGTATTCAATAAATTACTTGAGATATTCAAAACATTATTACAAAATAGGCTTTATGTTAGATGATTTTGCCCAACTGTAGGCTAAGCTATAATGTTTAGTAGGCAGGGTGTACCAAACATATCTTCAACTCACGATGGGTAAGCTGAGGAGCATCTCTATTTGTTTCTCCCATCTTCTCACTGAAATACCTTTTACAGTGAGGGCCTTATCTCATTCATTTGTATCCTCAGCACCTAGCATGGTACCTAACACTTGAGAAGGTGCCCAAATATTTGTTGGCAAATAAAGTAAGCTGCTGTGATTTTCCTCATGTCCTTTAGTAATTCTAAATGAGAACCAAAGTCCTCAAATCTAGAATATACTGTGGACTAAAACTAAACTCTGGTCAGCTATCACCCATTTTATTTTAATCTTCTAACTCTCCCAAGTTTCAGTAATGCCTCCTGAAATCAACATGGTCCTCCCATCCCTTAGGTAACAATCTTCTATTTCTTTAAAAATTGGCATGGGAAGAAGGAGAGCTTTGTCGAAGAAAAAATTCTATATTCAAGAATGGCATGTAAGCTCTGGCCACAGACTACAGAGGTACAGATGTTTAATCATTGGCGCTACTATATATACAACCAATGGACTTTTTGAATAAATTCCTAGTCTAACTCCTTAGATAATGGAGTAAAGGTTGCCCATTCCCGGTCACACGATACTTGTGATAATGAAAACAATAAGGACGGCCTGGCGCGTGGCGCCATGGCCTTAAACACACAGCACTGTTGCGACGCCACTCTACAGACACTAAGCTGCCATAGAAGGAGACGTATCAGCATCCAGAACGCATCTGGGGCAAAGACACCTGACACACACTTTAGGAGAGTTCCAAGACCATCTCCAGAACGATATCCATCGAGTACCACACTATCGCACAAATCTGCCCAAAGATAAGAACAGACAATTGATCAATCGGACACGCAGATCTAAGACATGCTCACATTGACACAGAAATCCTGGAAACGCCACATAAACTATTGTTGACACAGCCCGACAATCACATATGAACCCCGACTATATGCGAGAGAGGTGTTGCAACAATTGACACAAGTCAACAGGGAAGGCGCGAGCATGAGAGGGACAACCACCACAGGCGCACCAAAATTAAAGTAGAACCTGAAATGTGACTGAATGCGCCAGACTCAATCAATAAAACCTTCGAAAAGAGAAGGCAGTTGCTTCTTAAGATGAGCGAACGAAAGTGACTTCTGCATTACGCAGTCTACTGCTGGTGAAACATGCTATAATGTCCAATGAAATGAACACAAAGGATTTAGAATCATCACATAAACTTTAGTTGGTAGCAGTGCCAGGTATGAGATACGCACTCGTTTTTCGGACAAGACATTCTATTGTGGGTGACAAATGCATCCTATCCAGCATCGCATGCTACCCACACGAACCTTCATGAAAGAAGAGTCCATTCGCAGATGCGCAAACTGCACTTTCTTTATTCTTAAGAAACATGTCCGCGGGTGGGTGCTCACGCCTGCTAATGCCGCAGCATTTGCGAGCCGAGGCGTGCGGGCGCTCATCTCAGGTTCAGGACGTGTCCGAGACCGCCAGTCGGCCACACATGGTGAGAACACCATCTCTACTAAAAGTACAAAAAGTAGCTGGCATGGTGGCACCGCACACCTTAGCCCAGCTACTAGGGAGCTCAAGAGCAGAGAGGACGCTGAACCCAGGAAGGTGGACGTTACCAACTGAGACGTGCCACTGCAGCTCCAGCCTGGCACAGAGCAAGACCCCTGTCCAAAAAAAAAAAGAATTGCACAGCCCATGTCAACCTTCCCATGTAACTACCCGACCCTGAGTAGTTTGCACATGCTGATGGTAACTACCACCATCGACAGAGGACCAGCAAGCGGGGCATCAACATTTGACGGAGCAGAGACCATCCCACCAGGCAAGAGAGTACAGCTGCGACAGCCTGCAGACTGACCAGGCTGGCATTTGGGTTTAAACATGTAAGGGCTATACACATGGTTTCTTGTGGGTTTTTGGTTTGATTTGGCGTTTTTTGCGTTTGTTTCTTCGTTTGTCTTCCTTCTCCGAAACAGACGTCTCACTCTGTCGCCCAGCGGAATCGCATGGTACCTTCTTTGGCTCACTGCAACCCACCCTCCCAGGTTCAACGCGACATCTCCTGCCTCAGCCCTCCTGAGAGCGGGATCAGGGCCCGCCACCATGGCGGCCATTTTTGTACATTTTTCTGGTCAGAGACACGGTTCATCACTGTGGACACACAGGCGCGGCTGAACTCCTGACCTCAATGACTCCACCCACGCCTCGGCCTCTCAGAGTGCTGGGATACAGGCATGAGTCACTGCAGCCAGGCCATCTGTACACTCGTTTTGTTAGACAATTCCTTTTGCAGACAGTTCAATCAGACTAGACAGTATAGATCGACATTTTAAACTTTTATCTGCAATCGGGAAATCAAAAAGTTTGTACTCACTTATTGTCGATATCAATCGACTTCATTGCAGTGGGTCCGGAACTAAAATCCACCCAGTATCTCTAAGCGTATGCCTGTAATGGCCTGACATAGGACAAAGTCTCAACAGATGAGCTATTAAGTTATGTAACAGATGTCTTATTATGATCATAGGGATGTCAATCTAGAATATCATATACCATATGAGACAAATATTCAATTCGGGAGACCCTTACCTCTTTCCTACAAGAAGTGTTTTTAATTGGGAATATTCCTCAACAGAGGCTGGCTAATTCCACAACCAGTGAAATTATCGTAT